AAAAGAAATACAGGACTAAAATGCAGCCTGAGTTGGAAAAGCAGTCTAATTGGCTTCTTTTTCTGGAAGTTATACATTTTCAAAGTGTGAACTTGAACTGCCATGGGCCTGAAGCCTTATGCTTGTTACACATTTTACTTACATTGGTATTACCTGTTGAGCATAATTAAAATTTGATGTTGAATTTGCAGTTTAACATAATGTACTTTTGCATCAGAATTGACAGTAGCCTATTTTGTGCATAGTTATTTCCTGCTTTTTGTCTGTACATTTGACAGCTTTGCTGCCTTGTTTAAAGAGAACCCATATTTTCACATTAATTTTGTTAATCCAGACTTTGAAGACCTGGGACGAGCATATGATAAAGCCAAGAAAGTTGTTGAAAAGGAAGGGATCCCAAGGTTTTACTTGAGGGCTTTGGTGGAACTTGAAGATTTTGTCTCTGAGGTAACAGTACAATTTGGTTGACAGTTTGGTGAAGTTCAATATTGACTAACATTCTTGAAATGCTGCAATTAGATAATTGATAGTTCTGGCATTGAAAGCAATTTTCAGTTACAGTGATTTTGTGGTTTTGTTATTACAGTGAAAAGACGATGTAATAGTATTCTCTTATAGGAAGAGTAAAAATTATTCAAAGAAGTGTATCAGGACACAGGCCATTACATTTATTTTGCAAAGATAGTACTTTCATTTGAACTGGTCTTTTCACTTATCACTTAAGTGCCTGAATATATACCTTTTATATTAAGGACATTCAAAAATCACACTTTACTCATTTTCCATTACATCTTTATATATCTGCAGTATTCATATTCATGCTCTTGTCTGTATTGTGATGCCTTACAATTTAATATGTGGCTAGGTCTGTGGAATCTAGCTAATGCTATATAGGACAATAATTTTGTGGCAGAATAAGGTTTCTTGGAGAGTAGGGATACATGGAAAAAACTTAACTTTGTTCCAGTGCTGGGAAGACAGAGAGGCTAGAAAACAGCTGAGCAAAAACAATGCAAAATCCCTGACCACTTTGAGACAGAAACTAAAAAAATATAACAGGGACTTTGAGCAAGGCATTTCAGATTATAGGGAGGTAGGTCCATTCATGATGTAAAACTTATGAAGCTGTTTTGTCTGACCATAATGTGTGGCTCATTCAGCTTTTAAGAATAACAGAAAGTGCAAAATTGAAGTTTTAAATTCATAGGTTCAATATGTAGTTACTTTTTGGTTAAGGATTATTTTGAATCAGTTTTAAGATAAGTTACAGGATCAGAAGTTATGACTTTGACACAATTTATATCTACATTAAGAACCCAGACCAAGATGAAGAGGAAGAAGGCTCAGATGATGAAGAAAGAGACTCTGATGAAGAGGAGGAGGATGATGATGATGATGACAAGGATGAGAATGACACCCAAATGATAGCAGATTTTATAAAGAAGCCACCTCCCTCCTCTAAGCCAAATGTATCTAAATTCTTAAAGGATGGAGATGAGGTAATTCTGATAGTTGATTTATTTTCTGTTTTGTTAAGTCTATGTCAGGTTTTGAGATAATATGGTAAGCATCAATTAGGAACAGTCACAGCATTCATATAAGAACAATAGCCTGAATTTTCACATTTAAGTATGTCCAGATATCTCTTTTCCAGGACTCTGGTGATGAGAGTGACTGGGGTGACGAAAGTGATGAGTCATCTGAGCTCAGCTCTGACGATGAAAAATATGGTGGAAACTTGGCCTTGAAGTTTTTAAAAAAGTATGCTGATTTTAATAGAGAGAATGGATGTATTTTTAATAAAATTCTTCTTGTGTTTTCAATTTTACCTAATATCTGTCAGTAGTATCATGAACAAAAAGCATCTTTTCTTCTTTGCCAATCTTTAAACTTCAATCTGCTGTAAAGATTTCATTCTGGTAAATTAAGCACAATATCATGAATAGGTTATTATAAGATCATTCATTTTTAGTAACAGTTTAGGTTTAAAGTGCTGTAATCATCATTGGCATGGATTTCAGGACTACAGAACAGGAGAAGGCAAAAAAGGATGCCAAAAAGAAAGAAGTGAAGGAGCGTAAACAGACAAAGAAAGTAGACAAGGCCCAAGATGAAGATGAAGGAGAGTGGGAGCAGGTGAAAGGAGGGGCACCCATGATAGCTGTAGGTGTTTTGGTGTTTGATGTTTTACTTAATTCCTTATAACATAGATTTTCACAGTAAGCATTTCTTGAAAATCTTTGGTAAACCATTTCGATGTATGAATTTTTCGGTCATCTTTTTGATTATAATATTTTGTTTTGCAGGAGAAACCCAAAATGTTTGGGAAGGATGTAGAAATCAACCATAAGGTTGTATGTATGAAGTTGATTGAGATTGTAGCAGCTCGTGGCAAGAAGGGCACAGACAGGAATGAGCAAATCAATATGCTAATTGAACTGAACTCTATTGCCTCTGAAAACAACCTTGGTCCTGCTATGGAAGCAAAAATTATGTTTAACATTGCTGCAGCCCTGTTTGATTATAACCCAAACATAGCTACCTGCATGAGAGCTGAGATGTGGGAAAGGTAAAGATGTTATCTGAGAGCAATAAAGACATTTTCAATTTATTGGAATTAAGAGAAAAGGATCTCTTTTTAAGTTGAATACATATGCATACATACATAAACCTAAACATGTCATTTTGAATTTAATGGTGGATCATCTTTTCAAATTATCTGATAGTCTAACATAAATCTGTTTCAGGTGTATAGAGTTTGTACTTGAACTGTTGAATTTATTGATTACCAATAAAGAAATATCTGTAGGAGAAGATATTACAGAAGAGTCTGAACAGTTAGAGGTGAGTTTTATAGTTTTATGTTTGAAGATCAGTTCCAATTTAATGAAATAAGTTATTGCAATATAGTAAAATTTGTTGGTGCAGCAGCTATATGTTAATGTTAATTAATTATTGATTATTCATGATAATTGGCAGAAAAATTTGGTCAAAAGCTATGACTAACTTACAAACTTACAGCTGCTGAAAAATACAAAAACATTCTGGTTATTGCTGAGATGTATCGAAATTTCATAAGGCACAAGTCATACTATCAAGAAAAGGTTTGTAGGATGGTTGATGTGGGGGTATGATCAGATGTTTTTATCTGACAATTTCATATTGTTACCCTTGAACCATCTTTTGGGGCCATTTATTGCATTTTTCATGTCATCTTGGAGGTAAAGTAGCTATTGCTTTGTCTTCCTTATAGCTGTTTTGAAATTGTGTGCGTCTGCACTCATTTCAAGGGTTTATCTGTCTGGAACCACATACTTGAGAAGCTTCGAAATCTCTGAACTGTTTCTTTCCCATTCTAGGTAGCCCCTTATTTGGTGCGTGGGTGTATCCTGACTGTTGTGGAGAGAATGGATGAAGAGTTCACCAAGATGCTGCAGGGCTGTGATGCTCATAGTACAGAATATGTGGAGAGGTAGATATTACCCTTGTTTGCCAACTGCCATATTGCACGCTTGTGGCACATTTACAAATGTCTGCTACCATGCTGATACTGAATGTTGTGTGTTCCATTATGTACTAGAACACTGGTTCCTGATTCACAAAACATTAGTTTTTGGGTTCAAATTTAAAAATTTAAGATTTAATCATTTAATTTGTC